TTTAAAATTTAGACAGGCTGTATTATTATTTATTTCAAAATTTTATTGAAGTAATCTTTGAATACAAAGCAAATAAAAGTATTCGAAACCGGCTTTTAAAAAGTTAAAAAACCGGGTTATTCGATATTCGAAAAAAATCTACATTTAGAAAAAACCGACACTGGTAAATAGTTAAACTGAAAAATTTGATTGATAATAGAATGAAACCATAAAGTGTTATATACCATTGTAAAGCTAATGAAATTACGCGTAATGCTGATGTACTTAAAATTTTTCCGAAAAATTACGACATTTGTAATCATGTTGGTGTTGTATACAAATTTGTGTATGTCATTGAAATCGTCTTCCAAGGTCCTTTCATATGAACCAACATTTGGATATGGTTTATTTGTCAAAAAGGTGAAAAAATAACATAAAAACCCTAAAAAGGACCTTTTTATCCTTTGATCCAGCTCACCAAATATTGACGTCAGGACAAAAATTTTGAGAAATGGAATCTTAGAATGAACTAAATTTTCATTTTCGGTGGGAACATCAGCAATTTCCATTTTGGGGCCACCCTAATTTACATATGTGTTATTAAATTAAAATTCGATGTACATAGGTGTTCATTTGTTAAAAAAATCAATAGTCATATCAAATTCTACACATGAGACCATACATAAGACCATCCATGACATGAAACAATAATTTGCTTTAAAGTCCAAATAATTTTCACCAAAAATTTCTCTTATTATCTATGGTTGAATTCTTAATTTCAAAACATATCGTTTTATATTAGATAGAAATTGAGTCCTTCGAGCTTCTATCATTTGGAAATAATTAGTTTTAAAGTCAAATATTTTTTCAAAATTGAAATTTTTGGTAATTTTTTCATATAATATTAACAATGGAATTTAATTAGATTAATATTCATATAATGTCAATCAAGATAAAAATTCGAAATGAGCTGCATTGGTTATTTGCAAAACATACTTCTAAAAAGTGGCTTTTGAAACTAGATTTCAAAACATTCTTAGAATTTCAAATTTGAACTTTTAAAGATACTTTGACCCAATTTTCTCATTGTCTGATTATGTTTTATCATAACGATAAATTGACATTTTACATACAAAAATTATTTTAACCGGCAGTATATCCACCTGGTAAACTATAACCGGAGGTTGAGATATTGGCCTGAGAGTATCAAAAAAAGTACCATCGTACCAAATTTGCCATCCCTGTTTGGCATATTTGTGAGATCTAGAAGATTAAAAAATGTATGTAATGGTGTTAATTAATTATTTATTTGTCTATAAAGAACGTCTTTCTTTTCAAGAAAGAAGAGGCATCATGATGGTCTCCTGGAAGAATGCCCACAAGAGAGTGGCAATTGTATACCTCCCTAGTAGCCTAGGTGGGTGGTGGTCGGTCGGCTAGTGGTGACATGGTATATTATCACCTAGAGGCAATGGAAGGAAGCTGATTGCCGTATTCAGGGGGTATCCTTGAGATACATACTTATTATTATACCATTGATCTTAGCAGAATCACTACCATACACACATAATAGAGCGCGATGTCTGTCAGGTGTGCCTTTCAGTGAAGCTCTTGTTGTCTCCAAACACTATGGTGGCCGAATATTTACAAGAAACAATTGTTAAGCCGTCTTTTATACAAATTTATAGCTTTGTAGAGAATGTCTTCACGGACCTAGAGGATAGAACCTGGCTAGGTATGTAGATGTTGTTTGGGCAAAATATTGGTACTAACCATTGTGGGCTTTAAGTCGACTTTAGATCCCTTATAGTTGTCACACTATACCAAATAAGCATTCTTGCTGGAATTAAAGTTTAAAACAAGTTTAATTCCAGTCAAACATTCAAATTTCAAGTGTTGAAATTCACTTTCATTACACTTTAATTCAATAGAATTCTCCAGTGAAAACGAAACTTGAATTCAAGTCGAACATTAGAATCTTTTTACAGTATAATTCAATGCACGAAATCTATATATGTACATACATACGTACATATATAAAATTCTAACGTTACTGACTGACTGATTCATCATCGCACAGCCTAAACAGTTTTAGCTAAAGAGCTGAAATTTGGACAGGAGGTTGGTCTCCCACCAAACAGATCCACTAAGACGGGATTTTTGGAAATTCGAATGATTAGGGGGTTAAAAATGGTAAAAACGGGTAAATTCGGTAACCTCATATCTCCTAAACTATAAAAGATACAAAAATAGTTTAAAGCTTATCGTCATTCATTTAAAAAATAAGCGGACAGGTGTCTGGTACTTTTTTTCAAATTCGGCTCCTTTGGGGAATAAACGGGTAGAAACTGTAATTTGGTACTTCTTTTGCACCCCATGTATCTTTTAAACCAGAGAACATTCAAAAAATATTTTTTGAATCCTTCATAACTTGACGAACAAATAAAAATATGAATTTAGTACTTTTTGGATATTCGGACGTTTAAGGGGTGAAAATTGTACCTATTTTTGGTACTTTTTTATAAAACATTGTTTTTGGTTTATTAACTTATACATATGAATACAAAATAACGGGCTCCCAATACGATGTTGCAACTGGTACTTTTTTGACTTAGAACTTAGAAACATGTAATTAAGCACTTGAGAATCTATAAAAGTGGACTTTTTGGTACTTTTTCGTTCTTCAAAAGGTACTTTTTGAGTTTTCTATTAAATTGAACATAGAAACATGAAATTATGCACGTAGAGCCTGAGTAAATGAGAATCTATAAAATGGCACTTTTTCGTTCTTTGACTGGTACTTTTTGAGCTTGCTACAAAATTTGAACCTCGAAACATGAAATTAAGCACTTAGAGCCTGGAGTAAATGAGAATCTATAAAATGGGAACTTTATCGTACTTCGACTGGTACTTTTTGAGTTTTCCATAAAATTAAACCTAGAAACATGAAAATAAATATGTAGAGCCCGGAGTAAATTATAATCTATAAAAAGGGACTTTTTAGTACTTTTTCGTTCTTTGACTGGTACTTTTTGAATTTTTTATAATATTGAACCTAGAAAAATGAAATTAAGAATGTACAGCCCGGATTAAGTGATAACATTTAAAAGGGGACTTTTTGGTACTTTTTCGTTCTTCGACTGGTACTTTTTGAATTTTTTATAATATTGAACCTAGAAACATGAAATTAGGAATGTACAGCCCGGATTAAGTGATAACATATAAAAGGGGACTATTTGGAACTTTTTCGTCCTTCAACTGGTTCTATTTGAATTTTCTATTATAATGAACCTAAAAACATAAAACTAAGCAATCAGGGACTTGAGTGAATGAAAATTTAAACTGGAGTATTTCTGGTAATTTTTCGTTCTTTAACTGGTACTTTTTGAATTTTCTAAAATATTGAATATATAAACATAAAATTAAACACGCAGTATCCTAATTGAACGAAAATTTATCTCGCTTACGTCGATTTTGCAAAAAGAGCTCGATATCAATCGAAATCTCTATAGGCCATAATTGACCCTGCCCCCTTCATTAATTGATTTTAACGTTTTTTATGTACTTAATAATACCATAATAAAACAATTTTTGTTGGAACGAAAATATGTAATGCAAATATGTATATGTTCTTGAGAAAATGACTTAAACGCACATAAATGGATTTCAAATGTCGATATCGACGAAAAAAAACATTTTTAGGAACCGAAACCTACATTTATGAAAAATAAAGTTATGAGGATCGGTCCGCCAATATAACCCTCTTACAGAAAATCAGTTTATAGCTAATACATCATTCCAAAAGTTATCATTATGATAGAATTATGGTAGAATTAAAAAAAAATACTTTAAATCATATATATTATTGATCCAATTCCACATTTAAGTCCCTAATCCGAAAATAACGGTGACGTTCTTATTAATCTAATGATCTTATTAATCTAATGATCGGACCACTTCCGAAATTTGCTTTTTTACGACATATGATTTGCCGAATATAACTCTTACTTCTTACTTAATTTAATCATAAAAAATTACCGCTAAAATAGGAATAGTCTGCCTTTAGAGTTGCGAGTTTTCATACATTCTAATAATGTTTTCAAAGTGAAACTTTTGGAATATTTTTCAATCTCTTTGTGATCCCTTTAAATGATGTTGTTCTGGAAGAACTTTAACATCCATGTAAACATTTTGGGTAATAAATTGGGGGACTACCAATGAGGGGAGCGGAACCTCCCATATGAATTAAATACAAAAATTCGTTTATCTGGGAAACTAATAGAACTAAATTCTTTAAAATTTTGCACGAAGAACTTTAATATTCATCTGAACATTTTGGAGAAAAAAGGGCGGACTTTCATCTGGGGGGCTTGGAGCTCCCATATGAATTAAATAGAAAAATTCGTATATCTGAGAAACTATTAGAGCTAGAATTTCAATTTTTACTGAAGAACATTTAGAGAATAACGGGCGGACTTTCAATGGGGGGCTTGGCACTTCCCATATGAATTAAATACAAAATTTTGTATATCTGGGAAACTATTAGATTATTCGAAATTGCAATAATTTGCGTGGAATCTCCCATATGTAACAAATTGTATATCTGGAAAACCATTGTAGTCAAAGTCGTTAAGTGGGTTTCTTATTTATATTGCTTTTAGGGTAGCACAGCACACTGGGTATAGCTTGTAAATAAACAAATAAAATATCTTTGTTTTTGCGTTATTGAACATTTTCTTAATGCAAAATTTTTTAGAAACTGATTTTCTGCAAGATGTTTTATATGGAAGATAGGCTTAAATATCGGCAGATCCTAGTAAAACTTGGAAAAAGGATTTGTTTTTAATTTTTAAGAATTTTTTATTCATCCCTGCATAATTTCTCACACAACTTTTGAGCTTGCTCTGTTTTGTTGTTATAAACAATATATTTGCTTCCAAAATCCCACTTTCTGATCTCTCGGATTCCGTTTTTATTTAAAATCGTTGAAAAATTAAAAACTAAACGTAGTTGAAAACTTAGCCGGCTTACAGTCGATTTTAAGCCGCCGCCGACATATTTAGTGTCAGTCGCCGCCGCCGTTAATATTTGTCGGCGCAGGGCTCTGTAGTTTATGCGAAGAAAATAAAAAAGGATTTTCATAATCATGGCTGACAGATTAACACAATTACAGGACACTGTTAATATGGTTCGTATAAAACATGCTCTATTGTATACAATAAATTTTAATTGTTTTTCTAAAAACATTTAAGCAAGCTGAACATTTCTGTAATGCAATCGGTATAATACAACAAACTTCTTATCCAAGCAAATTCCCAAATTTTGACCGTACCGGATCCCAAACTCCAGTACAGAATCAACAACAAGAAGATTATGCCCAACTATTTGCTCAGCTTATATCACGTTGCGCCAAAGATATTGATACCCTAATCGAGTCATTACCAAATGAGGACAGCTCGACGGAATTACAAAATCAAAGTCTTAAAAGATTGGAATTGGAAAACCAGGAAGCTGCCGAACGTTTGGAAGAAATCGCTTTAAAAGGCGAGTTGCTTTTGGGCAAAATTCAGAATGCCTTAGAAGATATAGCCCAAGCTCAACTAGATATGCAAATAACCATGAAAAATAACAATAGTTAAAATTGTCTCATTAGCTGCTTATGTTTATGTATTTACATTTGGTCAAATATTTTTTAAATTTATTTTAAATAATGCTTGTTATAGGTATAAAAACGAATATTTCTTCGAATTACATGGAAATTGCAAAAATGCTGCTGAATATCTATGTTTCATTTTGTAAGTCGATACGAAACATTTTTCAGATGGAAATACACAAAATTTTTATGACAAAAATAGCTCTAAAGTAGTTCCCCTTTTACAAAATTTACATGTGTACGTTTAAGACAAAGAATATGTATCGTCACCTGAAATGCAAAAAGGCGTAACAACCAAAAAAATGTAAAATCGACTTTTTGATGGCATCAAAATACATGTTACTGCAAATTTTTAGAACCTTATTGTCAAAAATACCAACTTTGGTATAAATTAAGCGTTCTGATCCAGCTGATTTTAAAACTTTTGTTTATACCACATAATAGTACCTGTTCTTGTGACTTCAACAAAGGAAAAAAAATTATCCGCTCTATTAAGGTTCGGGAGTTATGGGCCTCCAAAGGTCTGATATATAATTGGATATATCTCGATCACTGATAAACGGATATGGTCGATATGGGTATCATTGGAAAGGTCTTTGACAGAGCTTTCCACTGATGTGTTAGATAGACGAATATTATTAACCCATTGTGAACCAGGGTGAATTTTTTTGTTTTTCTTTGGCTTTTTTTTAAAAAGTACCGTTATCTCTAAATCATATCGATATAACGGTACCTCATCTTAGGTGAATGTTTGTAGACTACATTTGGAGCTTTCCTTTGATATAGGTTTGAAAGCTATAACCCATGAAATGCAGGAGTTATTTAAGTTTAAAATTTTATATTTTCATAAATTTTGATTTTTATCATATGTAATTATAAATCTAAACTGCATATTATTTGATATTATAATTAATGTATATTGTAACTTATATCATTAACCCATTGAGAACCAGGGTGAATTTTTTTGTTTTTTCATTTGTCTTTTTTTAAAAAAGTACCGTTATCTCTAAAACATATCGATATAACGGTACCTCATCTTACGTGAATGTTCGTAGACAACATTTGGGGCTTTCCTTTGATATATGTTTGAAAGCTATAACCCATGAAATGCAGGTGTTATTTAAGTTTAAAAAGTTTATATTTTCGTAAATTTTGATTTTTATCATATGTAATTATAAATCTAAACTGCATATTATTTGATATTATAATTAATGTATATTGTAACTTATATCATTAACCCATTGAGAACCAGGGTGAATTTTTTTGTTTTTTCATTTGTCTTTTTTTAAAAAAGTACCGTTATCTCTAAAACATATCGATATAACGGTACCTCATCTTACGTGAATGTTCGTAGACAACATTTGGGGCTTTCCTTTGATATATGTTTGAAAGCTATAACCCATGAAATGCAGGTGTTATTTAAGTTTAAAAAGTTTATATTTTCGTAAATTTTGATTTTTATCATATGTTATTATAAATCTCAAGTGCTTATTATTTGATATGGTCAATATGGGTATCAGTGGATAGGTCTCTGAAATACCTTTCAATTGATGTATATTGTAACTTATATCATTAACCCATTGAGAGCCAGGGGCAATTTGTATATATTTTATTTATTTTTTTTTACAAAAGTACCGTTATTTCAAAAATAAATCGATATTAAGGTACTTTATGTCACATGAAATCTTATAGACAACATTATAAGCTTTCATATGTTGTATGTTTGAAATACCTAACTCATGAAATGCAGAAGTTAGATAACTTTAAAAATTAATATTTTAAAAAAATTTTGGTTTTTATGGAATGCATTTGTATAGATTGACTACTTATTATTCGATATGGATATCAATGCAATGGTATTGAAATATCTTTTGATTGATATATAATATGGTCCATATCATTTATATCAACCTATTAACAGCCAGTGCCTGTGTTTTGTAACTTTCGAATCGACAAAAAAAATAGAAAAATTTATAATCGTCTTGTTTAAAACTGGGTGAACACACGTAATTCAAATATATTTTGGTTAATTGTAATGTGTTCAGTTTAAAAATTATTTGAATCACGCAACTACATACATACATACATGCATACATACATACATAAAAAATCGCGCGATTTTTTAAAATAATTTTTCCCCTGCGGCGGTATGCTGCTTTTTTTCACAATTCAATCATTTCACCAAAAAGTGAAAAATTATTTCAAAAAAATCGCGCGATTTTTTTTAAATAATTTTTCGCCGGCGGCGCTAGGCTGCTTTTTTCACAATTCAATCATTTCACCTGCGGCGCTATATTACTTTTTCCCACAATTCAATCATTTCACCAAAATATGAAAAATTATTTCAAAAAAATCGCGCGATTTTTTTGAAATAATTTTTCGCCTGCGGCGCTTTTCAGCTATTTCATTTCCAAATCAATAATTTCACCAAAAAATAAAAATTATTTCAAAAAAAAAAATAATACAACTTTTTACCAATTTCAAATCATTTAATCAAAAAGTGAAATATTTTTATTCAATTATTTCATCAAAAAGTGAAACAACTTACCCACTTCTTTGTTTAATAATTTATTTCACCTAGATATGCTTTCTTTCTAAATTAACTTAAAAAACTTCTAAACTTCATGAGATACAAATTTAAAACGTATATTATAAAAAAGCCCCAAATATTTTACAATTTCATGTTAAATGAGGTACCCTTACATCGATTTATTTTTGAGATAACGGTACTTTTGTAAAAACAATAAAAGAAATTTATATACAAATTGTCGCTGGCTCTCAATGGGTTAATGATATAAGTTACAATATACATCAATTGAAAGGTATATCAGAGACCTATCCACTGATACCCATATTGACCATATCAAATAATATGCAGTTTAGATTTATAATTACATATGATAAAAATCAAAATTTATGAAAATATAAAATTTTAAACTTAAATAACTCCTGCATTTCATGGGTTATAGCTTTCAAACCTATATCAAAGGAAAGCCCCAAATGTTGTCTACAAACATTCACGTAAGATGAGGTACCGTTATATCGATATGTTTTAGAGATAACGGTACTTTTTTAAAAAAAGTCAAAGGAAAAAACAAAAAAATTCACCCTGGTTCTCAATGGGTTAATAATATTTGTCATCTAACACATCAGTGGAAAGCTCTGTCAAAGACCTTTCCAATGATACCCATATCGACCATATCCGTTTATCAGTGATCGAGATATATCCAATTATATATCAGACCTTTGGAGGCCCATAACTCCCGGATCCTAATAGACCGGATAACTTTTTTTCCATTACTGCACTCAGAAAGTAAAATGCTACAAGGCAATAAAAAAAAACTCTAAAAATCAGCTGGATTAGAACACTTAATTTGTTCCCCAACTTTATTGAAATGAAATTCAAAAGGGCGTAACAACAAATTAGTCATTTCCACAAGTAAGAAAGTCCTAAAAAACAACATAATAGATAATATCTGTCGATACAGTTACATACATATATTTAAACATATTTAACGATGTTGATATACAATACTTTTAATAAAATGTTATTTTTATAACAAATATAGCTTTAATTTTATTTAGTTTCTTCGTCTCTCCTGTAAAATTTTAAAAAAGTGTTGTTACTCCCTTATGCATTTCAGGTGACGGTATGTATATCCTTTTTTTTTTTTTTGGTTCTGCTGATGGTTGGCGAGTAGATACTCAAATTGCCAGGTTGTCACACTGTAAGAAATTCATAGCTCAATTTTACCTTCATCCATAAACGATATTAACAGTTTGAAAATTTCAAGATTCCTGGTCTTGAGCAATACTTGCAAATTGCCATAAGATTTGAAAATGGAAAATTTATTCCTAATGTTGTTAAATTTTGAACATTCAAAAATCAAATGTTGAGGAGTCCTATCAACATTACAGATCGAACATGTGTAGCCGTTGTCCGAGTATTTACCGTCATATACATGACCAGATAGTAATCTATTTATAGTCTTTATGTCCTTAGGACACCAATCACATTTTGAATACCACGGTTTTTCCAGAATAGATGGAAAAAATTCAGCAAAAAGTTTACCAGTACCATTGGACATGTCCGAATATCTTTCGTTACATTTATTGCGCAGGGTGTTGCGGATTTCCCGTAGCGCCTCCTGAGGGGTGAGATCAACAGCTATTACATCACCAGTATCCACTGCCATTTTGGCTATTTCGTCAGCCATTTCATTTATTCTTATGCCCACATGACTAGGGATCCAAATCATATGGAATTGCTCGATATAAGATTGATTAAGTTTGTTGTGAAAAATTGCAGCACAATAATTATCATCCGTATTGGAATTTAAAAGTCGACACGCTGACATACTGTCCGTGAAGATTGTCACCTTTCTAACATCATTTTGTATTGCGATTTCAGTGGCCTTGATGATGGCCCATAATTCTCCAAATAAACTGGAAGTTGGATGATCAATTTTAAAATAGAACTTGTTGGCTGAGTGGACCTCAAAAACTCCACAACCAGTTGCATTATCGCCAATGGAGGCATCAGTAGCATATATTTTGAATCCATTGTTTTCATATTCGTGTAGCTTGTAATTGGCCAAGGCCCTGCTCTGCTCTGTTGGAATATTATCCTTCCGATCCGGGAGTAGATTTGTATAAGCAGTAAAGCCGTTATTCTTTTCACATTTACAGCCTGTGTTAACTCGATCAAAAATAGATTTAAACTCATAATAAACATTGCTGTAGCTCGATTTGACCTTAGGATGATCAGTGATCAGTTCATATGTGGGATTCTTCTGTACCTTGAGTTTCATTATTCCCCTCGCAGTCAAATAAATACTTCTCTCGGAAGGAGGAAGTTCATCAGCCAGTGCATAAATTACCTGAATCGGTGTAGATCCTTTCAGTCCAAGACATCTTCTAAGAATTTTATTTTGAAATGTTATTTAGCGATTGATTGAATTCGGTGTGTGAGCAGCAGTAGTCCTGGAATATTCCACTTTAGACCGAACGAAACTTTTGTATAAATTCAAAGCAACCTTAGGCGATAAACCACTTTTTATGGTGGTTAATTTACTTATCAAGCCAATACCACTTTTGGATTCAGATAAAACTCGATCATAGTGTTCTCCAACAGTGAGTGACGCATTAATAGTTCTGCCAAGCAATTTAATCTTCTTAACCTGTTCAATTTCCTTGTTGTCAATTTTGATCTGTATTTTCTTTATGCTTCCTTTGGCAAGGTACATAGTCCTTGTCTTGTCCGGGTTAAACGATAGGTTCAGGGATTTGCAGATTTCCATAAACTGACCTATTTTGGACCTCAAATTTTCGACAGCCAAATCAAAATCTTTATCAAATGATACAATCGTAAAGTCATCGGCAAATTGATACAGTAAGGTATTGTCATCTTGAATTTCATGTAACCTTCTTGTGTACAAGTTGAAAAGCACTGGAGATAAGCAACTTCCTTGTGGAAGCCCATTGTCAACCGTAATAGTTTTGTCGCCCAATTTCAGAGTACGTTTCGATAAGAAATTTGTAATCCATTCCACATATATTTCAGGGATTTGAAGGCTGTTTAAAATTTTCATCAAAATAGAGATGCTCACGCAGTTATAAGCATTGCTTATATCAAGGACTAAAATAATGACCTTAAAGCCTTTATGCTTCAGTGTTGCAGCATTGTGTAAGAAGTCATTCAAACACATGGACGATGATTTTCCTTTTCTGTAGGCAAAGCTTCCTTCAGGAATAATGGAGTTGTCGTTGATGAATTCAGTCATTCTCTCTTTAATCATCATGTTGACAATTTTGAGTAATACAGATATCAAAGCAATTGGACGGAAATTTTCATAGTTCGACAAGTCCTTGTCCTTTTTCGGTATTGGTACTATCTTAATCGTCCTCCACTTTTCGCTAACGTTAGATTCCAAAAAAGCATCATTCAAAGCAGTTAAAAGGGAGCATTTAGCATAGTTCGGAAGCGCACGGATCATATCATATGTGATTTTATCCACTCCACCAGCAGACTTTCTAGTTTTGTTGTGTAGAACATGCTGAAGTTCCTCAAAAGTAAACGCAGGGTTACCATCATCCCATGCACGAGTAATGTTGACATCTGGTATCACATGGGTACAGTTAGAAGAATCATCTACAGGAACTTGCTCCTTTAAAAATTGTAAGTAAAGTTGGTTGTTGTCGCTATTCCAAAGGGATGAGATACGCGTGTTGCCACCATTAATACTGCCAACAAATCGCCAGGCTTCCCTAGAGTTAGGATGTTCATTCAGTTTTCGAATTTGCTCCTCATAGGATTTCCTTTTCGCAGTAAGAACAGCCTCCTTCCAAACCGATATTGCATACGTCGCCTCATTAAAGTTGTCCACTGTCGGGTATTTGTCACATTTTTTACGAGCTGCAAGCTGAAGTCGAAATAATTTCACCAATTCATCATTCCACCAAGCCTTAGGAGTTCTTCTGTCCTTTAGTTCATAAGTGGCATGTTTTATTTCATATTCAAATACTGATTTAATTTCATTCATATTGGGGTCAAAATTCACCTGCTTTAGTGCAGATAGCAATTTTCCCTTAGCCAAAAATGTTTTCACCTTAGGGTTAACCTCCACAATTTCAATTACTATTGGGTAATGATGACTGCCAGCAGGAAGCATAGGCTCAGTACTCCAATTCGTTGTACAGTCAGTGTTGGTAAAAGTTAAATCGAGTACAGTACTCACTGACCCACTAAGGTCTCGTTTGAAGGTAGGACTTAAATCATTCAGACATTTGAAGTTAGACATGTTGATCATATCGACTAGTTTTATTCCCCTAGTAAGGTCAGCATAGTCTCCAAATTTCTTGGCACGAGCGTTGAAGTCACCTGCCAGTATCACATGCTCATAATTCTGCAGAAAATCAATCAATCTTTGCACCTCATAATTAAAATCAAAGGTAGAAATAGATTGTTCAAAGTATACCGAACAAATAACAAAGTTAGTCGTAAGATTCATAGTTTTAATTATCAATATATCCAAATGTGTGTTGTATTCAATTCTCTTGTACTGGATGGATTTTCCCAGAGCTATGGCAACTCCTCCATATCCATCCAATCTATCAATCTTCTCAATAATATTAAAATTTAAAAGTTTATGCGGTTGATTTAGGATGTCTATGCCACGATTATTCAAATAGTATTCAATAGTGTTGCGATTAGCCCTTAAAGACTGGCAATTGTATTGCAGCAGCTTCATGTTCAAAGTTCAACATTGATTGCGAAATAATGTCACAATCAATATCCTTGTATATTTTCTCAAATCTATCATTGAAGTGGGCAATGGCATTTAAACCATGTGAATTTTTCTCCTTCAAAAAAACATCTTTTACAAATTTCAGTAATTCCGTTGTAGTTTTCTCAAGAATGCCAACCTTGTGAATATTTGGCCGATTTAGCACACCACCAGAGCATTCAGCCTCCCAAAGATCAGGGGGGTCATAATGCTTCTTGATCACAGCTCTACGTGTATTCTTAACAGGCTTCTTAACCACATTATTGTATGGTCTTGGAGTAAGGATTTTATTCACCTCAACATCCTTATTTCTAAAACCTATACTAGATTGTTGTGTTAGTTGAGGAAAGTTTTGGTCATAATCCTCAAGGATATCGAATCTATTTGTATTAGATTGGAAATATGAGTCACGTACCTCTTTTCTTGACAGTTTTTTAATAGTCATCACCTTTCTTATCTCCTCCTCTTCATTCCATTTTGGGCATTTTTGTCTTTGATTGGCATTATGATCATGGACATTACACAGGATACATTTGATGATATTGCAGGATGGTTCACAACCACCCTTTTTACCACATTTTAAACATCGTTTGTCAGAACGGCAGCCATTCTGGGTGTGACCAATGCGCCCACAGTTACGACAATGTCTTACAGGTGGATAGTAATGATCCACCTTGAGGACAGTGTAATTCAGGATAAGCTCAGTAGGTAATTCATTACCAGAAAAACCTATTTTGACAGCATAAGTAGGAATGTATCTTTCGATACCCTCTTCAACAAAACGTTTTTCAAAGCGTTTTACCGAGGTAACAGCCACTGGAGATTCAATATTGCGTTTTATATCCTCATCCGATAAAAATGTTGGAACATCACGTATGACACCAAAGGTCTCGAGGTATGTGCGTGGTATAAATGGTTTAATCCTCTTTTTCGCGAGATCATTGTTACGCACAGCGTTATTAGCATTCTCAACGGAATCGAAGGTGACCCTATACAAGGATACACCAATTGCCTTTATGGATTTGATACCAATGATGTGTACATCACGAATCTTCTCCCAAAGGTATAGCCCGTTTCTTATTCTCTTATTATTGACAGTCTCCGCTTGAGATGTGTCAAATAATACAATCACATCACCCATATGTCCAACAGGATAAAAGAAAATTTCCTTCCTCTCACCTTGTGAGTTTGTACTTTTAATTGCATTATCAGTTCCTTGCCCTTTAGCTTCTACCATATTTTGTTGTACGTCAGCATTGGATGCAGCTTCAACAGGTACAGAATTAGATTCAGTCGCCTCCATTTGAGAACAGGTATTCTGAGTATTATCACAATTGTCCGAAATCATATTTCGATTATCATCACCCATCATAGCCCGCATAAATTCATCAATCTTGTCCATAGGAGAAGTGGCACAAGATGCAGTCTTTTTGTTGGCTGTTTCCGTTGCCAAAGCCTTCATTTGATCCTTCCATTCATTTCTTTTTTGCCTCTGCACTTTTGAGACTTTACCGCCATCAAGTTTGAGAAGCTTCCCATACTCGCCATCTTCGTCTTTCGACGAAATCGCAATCCGTGACGTCATAGCGTCACTTTTACATTTCAAAAATGGCGACACGACAATATAATAAAATTAAAATCGGTCACACTTAAAATAAAGAAAATCAAATAATTTCGAGGTATTTATCCGAATCGTCAGCCAAATAATACTATGTGCATGAAAAGTATGAAATCCACAATATATACAAAAGAAAAATCTCCGACAATTTGCACTTCACAAGACCAGGGTTGTTTGTCAACTGGTATATCCTTTTTAGAAAAATAATGATAATCTTTTGTTTTGAACTATGTATGTACATAATTTTTAATTACATCCAAATAGCCAGTTAAAAAACCGCTCTACACATCCCAGCAAAAAATAATCGATGTCATACTTTACAAACTACATGTAACTCAGTTCTAAAAATGCGATTATATATATCTCGCTTTTATAAACCAAAGTTTTTCTTTACAAATGAAAACCCAGTTAAAAGCGAGGAAAGAGATGTAGAAAAGTCACTACGATTGTATTATATGTCCAACAAAGAGGGTTCAATTGATAATGAACTGTTTGATATTTAGGTGAAACATGCTTGATTTTAACATTAGCGTGTCATTGGCGAGCATGGGATCGTGTTTGGAAAAATAGTTCTTCATTAAAATAAGTTCCTACTAGGGATGTAAGGAAAGCATATACGAATGCGAATTATTCGCTTACATTTTATACCCTTTACCACCATCAGTGGTGATAGAGGGTATACAGTGAATCAATTAAGTAATTTGCCTATGTAAAATTTTTTGTATTTTTTTAAGAATATCTTATATTTTAATTTTCTACAATAAAAAGTAAAATCATGATATTAATTAACGAGATTTTTGATAAAATGTGAACGTATTGTTAATATTTTAGGTCAATAAAGTATTTCGCTTTCTTAGTTTTTTTTTTTTTTCTTTTTTTAGTATTGCTGTATTATTTAATAAAATTTTATATTTTTATTACTCCTATAGATTAAAATAACAATTCTTAGATATATTAGTAGTGGTACGACTAAATTTTGACATGTCTTTACCGATTTAATATCCTATATACCTATAAGAATTTATTAGTAGTTGACTTAACATGAAGTCTATCGTTTCTTTGATTTTATTTCAAAAATAATAAGTAATTTTAAATGGGATACATGATATACTAGAAAATCTATTGATTTGGAACTAGAAAATATGTTTAGTTCGTTATAAAATTATATATTATAAGAAAATAATCTGGGTTTTTTTTTTGTCATTTTATATTGATAAACTAAAACTCCATTACGGAAATTCCATATATTTGGGGAGTACTGTGTGAATTTTATTTAGAATTGTATAATATTGATTGAATTGAATATTGATTCTTATTCAATAAAGCTAACACTAAGTACCATCCTAGCCACTCTGAGTATGGGACATCATCGTATACCACTATAGAACTATTACATGCTAAAATCTTGATTTTTCTACTTCATAGGCGTATTTTGATCTGGAAAGTTATTCTTGATTTGGGTTATAAATATATATAAGTGTATTAGCTGAAAAATATTGATTTTGTGGACCTTAGGTCTAATAATCATTTCTTTGGGTCATTTCATCAATTGTTTTATATTTTTAATGATATTGATTAAACATCTAATTGTATTACATTGATTTACACTTGTTCTAAAATTCTAAACAAATTTTTTATATTGGAATTGCCTCATTATTTTCCTTTAAACATTTTTAACACAAATATGTACATAATTTCACAGTTTCACACAATGAGGAATTGGAAAGCATAAATTTACTTTTTACCTGTTTTTTTACATTTTATTTATGAATAAAAAACAAAATTTTCTTTAAAAAGAGTAGGCAAAAAACTTAGTTGATTCACTGTATATAAGTTTGTCATTCCGTGTGCAACACCAAGAAATATTTATCTGGGACCCAACAAAGATAATATATATATTCCGGGTCCTTGTCAAATTGTGTGTCGATTTAGCTATGTCCGTCTGTCCTTCCGCCCGTCTATGTAAAATACGCTCACGTTAAAACTAAGGAAAGCAAATCAACCAAATTCTCCAAAAATTCACAACGTAGTTTTCTCAGAAACTACCAAAAATAATTTGATGAATTTTGGCACACGTTATTTGTTTTGCTCCCATATAAGGTCCACAATGCACATAATTAATTAAGAATATCTATATATCTTGAAATAATATTCGACATAAATATGTTTTGTTTATACATATATCACTCTGCAAAATATGTTTCGGATCGATCAATAATTGGGCATAACTCCCATATAAGGTTCACTTCCGAAAAGCACTTAAATGCACATAACTAATTAATAAATAAACATATTGGAATAATATTCAACATAAATGTCTATAGATATATCATTCTACATAACACTTTTCGGATCGGTCCATAATTGGGCGTTGCTCCCATATAAGAACCACGTAATCTGTATAAAATTCATTATGAATGTGTTTAAAGTACATATAAAACACCCTCAGCAATTTTTTCCGGATCAGTACATAGTTGATCAAAGCTCCCATATAGGGTCCACTTCCGAAAATCACTTATATGTACATAACTAATTAAAAAATGAAGATGTTTTAATAATATTCGACATAAATATGTTTTGTGTATAAATATATGACTCTACTAATATTTTTCAGACCGGTCTGTAATTGGTCATATCAGTCGAAAATCCCACATTTCATTCATTTGAATTAGAAACGAATTGCAATTCATTTGACAAATTCATTTGAATTGGAAACGAATTGCAACTCATTTGCCCAATTCATTTTAATTGGAAATGAATTCCAATTAATTTTTACCAAATTCATTTGAATTGATTCAAATTTCATTAATTTTTTTTTTGTTCAAAATTTAGCCAATTCGTAACGAATTAAAATAAAAAATTAATGATTCATTTACAGCTCTGGTAAATACAAAACTCTAATAAAATTAACTTGGGGTTTTCTTTCTCTTATTAATGGTCTTAGGTTAGGTTGAGAGGAGGATGTATAGTACATCAATGAAGAAATACACCTAGGCCACTTCGGGCCTGTTGTGCGCTCCTTTTCATAAAAAAATTTTTTCACTGAGTATATTATTTTTCAGTGTTCAGAAACTCAGTTTCCTGGACGTAATTCCTAAGAATTTTC